AGACAAGACCAACATGACGCAAATGCGACTTCACAATACGCGTTGTCCGACAACTTGCTTCGGCCCTTGGATCGTTACAAGTTTTCTCGTCTCTTCCTTCGATATCTCGAAGGAGCTAAGAGAAGAGAAGAGAAGAGAAGAGAAGGGGAGAGGATGTTGCGAGACCGTAGTCGAGGGAAGTTCCCTCGAAAGTGCCACGACATCGTTTGTTATGACGGTGTACTTGATACCTCTCGTTCGACCGTAGGCTTTCGCTAGGATTACGAAGTTTCCTGAGCTTTAAAGCCATTATTGAATTTACTATGACAAACCGTCATGCCAATAAAAGTACTTTCGATCTCTCTTTATCTAATTGAAAGTACCGTTTAAACCTTTTATTAAGCGAATTTTTTCATATTTACAAAAGAAAAAATTATCTAACATGAAATTTATACTATAACTTATATTGCTAGAGGGATAGAGAGAGAGAGAGAGAGAGAGAGAGAGAGAGAGAGAGAGAGAGAAAGAGAGAGAATTATTTTTCATAATATCATAATACTATTTATAAAGTACATAATATTATATAATATACATAGAACTATAATTTTTTAATAAATATTAATCTTCTAATTTAATTTCATAGCGAAAAGAAAAAAAATGAAATTGGACTTAAGAATAATAGATATACGAGTGTGACTTCAAAATTATACGATGTCAATTAATAGAAAGGATTGTTAACGTTGTCAATGCAAAATTAAAGCTTTTCGAATAACTTTTTATATCGTTTGATAAAACAAAGATTATGAATTGTCTAAAATGAAATGACTCACCTTTCTTCTGTACGTCGATGCAGGGATGATCGAAGAGGAAATTCTGGAAACTATTGCAGTCTGGATCGACGTGCCGTTCCTTACAAAGACACGTGGGCCGAAAGAACGAGAAAGCTTGCAGACTGTGAAGTGCTGAACGACACTTGGTCACCGTCACCGTTGAACAAGCCACTAAAACAATTTTTTTTTTTTAATTACTCTTTAAATCATTTTTAGATAATGCTTGATAATTATTATAAAATTAACATATAAATAATGAATTATAATAATTTTAATTTAATGTATCACGCGCACGTGAATTATATTTATTATATTTCTTTTTGTATACATATATATATATATATATATATATAAATGATCTTTATCATTTTCACATATTTCCATATCGCATGTATTTACATTACGTTGATCTTTAAAAAGTGTTTCATACGTGTAAGATATGACGGGAAAATATGTAAAAAGAATTTTCTCACGTTCGTAAACTCACAATCTTAATACCGATAAACCGAAATGTAAATTGCGAAAAAAAAAACAGAGAATAATATTCATAATAATGTCAATCAAAGTGTATATTGTCTCCCTATAACGATTTGATATACATTACTCGAGAAATTGCACGTCACTGATCTACTTATCAATAAAGTTCATTAAGTCAAGAGACTACTGAATATAATAGTTATCAGATTTCTTTGATGTTGTGATTCGCTTTGACAACTTACGTACAAAACATCGTCATTCATTAGAAAAAGAAATTATTTTTACATAAAGAAACAAAAGCTCTCTCGTATCGTTTAACGAACCTCTCAAACGAGAATTTAATTTTATAATAGTATATAATCGTTATAGTGCTTTTGGCTCGTTGACATTATACCGAAAATAGATAGTTGAGACGAGGATTGAAAGTTTCATCGAAGCGATGCGTGTATTCGAAGTAAGTTCGACGAACTGTGTTCTATTACCGTATAGTATCGAAGAGTTCTTGTTACAATGTAAGAGATTAAATCAATGTACGATACGATTTATTGTTTGACAGAATTACATCTACGTGTTGATTTAATACATAAACGAAATTACATTTTATACTATGTCAACATACGTCATAATTAATGCGAACATGTGTATATACAATTCATTTATTTGATGAAAAAATGAAAACGACAACAAATTTTTCTTACATAATTAATATGTTTAAAAAAATAATTAAACCTTTTTCACGCTTGAAAAATATATGTTATACTTTGCTACATTCGAAAGCTTACATTCATGATGAAATTTGATTACTGTCGGGGGAAAAAAAAAACGCGATAAGTGACATCTTTCGAAACTCTCCTATTAATTTAGATCGATGGACCAATAAAATCGATCAATATAAATTATTATACACTCGTGTTCGTGACGTTTAACGCCAATTTACGCACGATATTTTAATGTAATTTATATTACTACGCGTTGCAAATTAATAGGATTTATATAAAATTATTTGATAATAATGTATGTATGTATGCGCAAGTGTGTATATGTATGTCTATATGTATACATATGTATATATGTATGTGTGTGTGTGTATATATGTGTGTAAACTTTAAATTATAACAAATATGGAACATAAAATAAGATGGTAATTAATTATTTCCTGGCGATCAATGAACGTTATTTTTTGTCAGGTGTTGCAAAGTTCTTTCATGGATGTTGATTGATAATTAAATCGTTTATTAAGCCGATCTTCGAGATCGTTATTAATTTTATATAATATCTTGATGAAATTACTCGACTAATATAATACATTGTATTATAGTTTGTGTAATGATGTTATAGTGTGATTTCTTTGATGACAGATACTTACGAAGTATTTGAAATAATCAAATTATTATTAAAATTCATGAAACGATTACGTATAAAACTTCGAATGAATCTGAGCACAATCACGATCTTTCTACTATACTTATATATACTATATTATACTTGTATTGGGAACAGTATTGACATTTAAAAAAGTATTATAAATAATTAAAAAAAAGACTAATACTCTAGGAAATATAAAACAACAAAAATAATAATCAAATCGTATAAATATCAATTTTTAATATTATTCGTTATGTCATAAAGTATATTTAAAAAGGAATTTATTAGGATGAGAACGATTAATAACAATAAGAATTTATAAAAAAGATTTTTAATTAATGTATATCTTTAGATGTTCTTCATTGTATTGTTTTTTTTTTTTTTATTTCTTTTCTTTTTTTTCTTTTCTTTTTTTTTTTCCTTTTTTTTTACGAGCACGTCCTCTCGAAGCCACTCAACTTTTCTTTTTCACATCTCCTTACGCATTTTGTCTTTATTATCGGGTTGATGCAATATCGAAATTGGGTCGACGTTTCGTTGCATAAAACAATGCTGCTGCCATCAAGCTCATCTCCATCGGCTGGATAGGAAAGGTATGGGTGATAGGTTATTATTCGAGGAACGACGTGTCGATCGAGGATCTTTTATGAGAGACAGACAGAGACCGAGAGAGAGAGGGAAAGAGAGAGAAAGAGAAAGAGAGAGAGAGAAACCCTGTGCACGACGTTTCCAAGATCATTTTTAAAAGTTGAATGTTTCCTGACGCTCGCAAACTTCCAACTCGTTTCATCTAATTATAAAATTTAAGATCGTTTTAGATTCGATGCAGGCCAATTCGATTTGTTCTCATGAATCCGAGTAAATTTCATTGAAATTGACAATAGTTAGGAGTATTTAATCTCTACGAAATCTTACTCATCAGAATCTCTTTAAGAAGTTCATCTCTTTATTACTTACTCTTTCTCTCTCTCTCTCTCTCTCTCTCTCTCTGTTTCTTTACAGAGAGATATTTGCATTGCTAGTTTCATTCTACGCAGTTATCCTTTCTTTATTTGCGTTTCGTCCTATAAAAGATTTTTATTTCCTCATCAGCAGTACATCGAAATTAGGTCATGACACCGGCTTGACGCTTAACGTCCTTTTAAGCGTTGTAACTGTAATGGTATAGGAGAACTTTACACTTCCCGTCGTGCTGGTGGCACGGTTCGAGGGCAAACGAAAGGACGACATTTCCTAATTAAATCTCGCCGGATAATATTAACGAAATTATGAATCGACCGTACCAACGTTTCAGCGTGGCTATTATTGTTCTTCCACAGAATATATGCATACACATACACACATACACACACATATATATATATATATATATACATACATATACATATATGCAGTATGAAGCATTTTGAATAACGAAATAAATTCAAATAAAAAGGTTGAGCTCTTTCATGAAAAAAAAAAAAAAAAAAGAAGAAGAAAAAAAAAACATAAAATAAAATATAATAAAATAAAATAAAATTCCTGTTGATTGAAAAAACGATTTGTCCGCCGAAAAAAAGAAGCGGAACAAAAGTTCGGTTCGCTCTCATTCTAAATAAAATTAACCCCGATATTCATCGAAATAAAAAGTTTGTCCTACTGAGTGGAGAAACTTTAACCAATGAAAGCCGAATCCATTATCTTTTCCACGACTATGACGCGGAGACGAATGGAATTGAAATTTCACATAGACCTTTGTCATTTTCCACCTGACGTTTCGTTGTCGACGACATCTGGATTCATTACTTATATCCTCGGCACGGCTCGGTTATTACGAAACTTAGGATGTCTCGCGATGGCAATTAAGGAGATCCCTTATCTCCTATTTCTTTTTTTTTTTCGTTTCTTTTCTTTCTTTTTTTTTTCAATAGACGTTGTACTAATTAATCCACGGGCATTTGCAGCAGGGAATTTTTTTCATAACGAAATTATTGCAAGTTCTACGACGATGAACGGCGAACGAAGAGAATACCTATTTATACGTGATACCTAAGACGTCGAATTATTCTCACGCTTCAAGATCCAAGAATAACGAAGATTTTAATTAAATAAAATTAACTCATTTAACACAAATGTATAAAGAAACTTTTCGTCGAAATGAAAAGGGAATGGTCGAATTTTGGAGGAAACAAAAAACGAGCTTTCAAAACGAGATGCACTCATTGAAAATGAATATGTGATCATATTTTTCATATTCATCGAGTATATTATTTGTAAAATTGCAGAACGAACGAGCCAAAGAAAAAGAAAAAAGAGAGAGAGAAAGAAAAAGAGAGAGAGAGAGAGAGAGAGAGAAAGTTACATTGCGGTCTCGATTATATCACCAGTAGTCATGTGTTTTTGTTTAATGCTTTCGTGCTACGCCTATGAACCATATATACCAACGGCAACGAAAGCTGGTTTGGTAGTTGCATGGTCTGGTAGTGCTAGATAGAGATGAGGCCGTGCGATAGACGAGGAAGGGGGTTCGACGGGACTGGTTAATAGGGGCTTGCCGGGGGTACAGGGGAATCAAGCGAGATGGATCATACGTTGCTGCAATCGTGCGGTAGCCATCTGCATTCAGACTGCCGGACCACACTGCAGTGCTTGAAATGCGTCCGAAATGCATACGTAGTATATGCAGCTCCTGGGCGAATGCCCGATTTCCGTATGCAAAGCCAGGATCATTCTAGTTCTCTGATTTCCTTTACCTATATAATTTCTTCGTTCTCTTCTCATATTCTCCTGTTTTTCCTTCCTTCCTTCCTTCCTTCCTTCCTTCCTTCCAATTCTCCTTTTCTCTCTTTCTCTCTTTATTTCTTGTTTCCTTTTCTTTTTTATCTTTTTTCCTTTCAATACATCGCATACCATCATTCGAACAAGCTTCATCATTTTCTCTTCGGGAAATATTCTCTCTAACGAAATCTAATTATCGGTACGATGGGTACCACAATTATTGCCATGGCTTGCGAGAATTTTTCTCGATCAATCATATTTTTTTTTTCCCCTCGGTATCTTCTTTTTCTATGATATTTCTAAAATTATTTGATTTAGTTCGCGATGAAAATTTTATCGATATCTACTGAAGTAAAAATTTTCCTACGGAAAGAAACTGTTTGATATAATTTTCCATTGGTTTTCATTCCAATACATAAGAATATTTATCGTAAGTATCGTCGAGCAAGAATTTACATATCATTGTTTAATTGTATTCGCAGTAAATTCAAGTCTATCATAGTTAAAATCGATTTTATAAAAAGTCAATTTAAAAAGAATTATATCGTAAGTTATATTCCAAATTTCATAGA